AGAGTGCTGTGGTATCACAGCTCACAGCAACCTCCAACTCCTGGGCTCAAGTGAGTCTCCTGCCTCAGCCTCCCAAGTAGCTGGGACCACAGGCTATTTTTTTGGTTGCAGCCATCATTGTTGTTTGGCGGGTCTGGGTTGGATTCGAACTCGCCACCTTAGGTGTATGTGGCTGGTGCCTTAGCCGCTTGAGCCACAGGTGCCGAGCCAAACTCTTGGGCTTAAGCGATTTTCTTACCTCAGCCTCCCAAGTAGCTGGGACTACAGGGGCCTGCCACTTGCCTGGCTATTTATTGGTTCTAGTTCTCATTATTGTTTGGCAGGCCTGGGCTGGATTCAAACCTGCCAGCTCTGGTGTATGTGGCTGGCACCCTAGCCACTGAGCTACAGGCACCGAGCCAAGTTTTTTTTTTTAAACCAAGTCCTGTGAAATAGCAGGAGTGACAATGGTGGAGAAACTGAGAAAGATTTAAAAGAGGGCAGTTATCCCCACTTTGGAGAGTTTTAGCTATAGAGGGTAGAAGAGCTGGAGAGGACTGGTAATCCTTACTATACCAACTTGTGTTCACAAAGTATCAAGTAACCAGTAGGCACTCAGAAAAGGAGTTGTCACACTCTGCCTCTGACATCCCTAAAAACAAGGAAGATAGAAGAGGATTCTCAAAGTCTAATTGGTTTAGCAGGAGTTTGAGACTAGACTGAGTAAGAATGAGACCTGTCTCTATTAAAAATGAAAAAAACTGGCTTGGTGCCTGTGGCTCAAATGGCCAAGATGCCAACTAAGATGCAACCAAAAAATAGCCAGGCGTTAGGGTGGGCGCCTGTGGTCCCAGCTACTTGGGAGGCTGAGGCAGGAGACTCATTTGAGCTCAGGAGTTTGAGGTTGCTGTGAGTTGTGATGCCATAGCACTCTACCCAGGGGGATAGCTTGAGGCTTTGTCTCAAAAAAAGAAAAGAAAAAAACTGAGGCAAGAGGATCAATTGAACCCAAGAGTTTGCTATGAGCTATAATTCTACAAATAGAATTCTGAAATAGGTTCAGCCTCAGCAGTTAACAAAAAGATAAGAAACAATGAGATGCTATGTTTACTGATTAGACAATTTAAACTCTGACACCATTCACCGTAGCTACGATCCAAAGGGTACTGCAACCCAGCCATGCACACTAGTAGCAGGCAGTATTCCAAGACTCATTGTGGTATTAGCTGCCATTTCAGCATCACCTCAGGTGGGCACACACCAAGGTTTTCTCTCCCTCCTACCAGTAGCCCCAGCCCCAATCACTGGGAGAAAAAAAAATCACGTTGAAAAACAGTTTATTTAAAAAAGTTCTAGCAGCAAGAACAGTAACAAAACAAAAGGGAGAGACAGACAGACAAAACAAGAAGAGGTGTGTCCTGGAGGAATTATCTCTATTCTTAATCGAGTTCTTTATACCGAGCAAACATGACTCTTCGAACAGCATCTCGGTATGTCTCATTGGACTGTCTCTTGCTGGTTCTTCCTGGGGTCCCAAGGCTGGAGCCCCTCACCCGGCCTTCAGTCTGCAAAACAGAGACCAACAATGAAGTGAGTCCTATGAATTCATTAGCCTCAGGGCTGGTCTTTGACCACAAGTATTTCTGGACCAATTAAGAGCAGGATATAGGAGAACTTTTTTTGTGTGTGAGAGAGTCTCATTTTGTTGCCCTTGGTAAAGTGCTGTGGCATCACAGCTCAAAGCAACCTCAAACTATTGGGCTGAAATGATTCTCTTGTCTCAGCCTCCCAAGTAGCTGGGACTACAGGTACCCACTTTGATGCCTAGCTGTTTTTTTGGTTGTAATTGTCATTGTTTGGCAAGCCTGGGCTGGATTTGAATGTGCTAGCTCCAGTGTACGTGGCTGGCACCCTAGCAGCTGAGCTACAGGTGCTGAGCCAGGAGAACTTTTTAAAATCTTTCATTATTGGCCAAGCGTAGTGGCTCACATCTATAATCCTAGCACTTTGGGAGGCCAAGGCAGGCAGATCACTTGAGCTCAGGAGTTTGAGACCAGCCTGAGTAAGAATGAGACCCTGTCTCTACTAAAAATGAAAAAAACTGAGGCAAGAGGATCACTTGAGCCCAAGAGTTTGCTGTGGGCTCTAATTCCACAGCACTCTCCTGAGGGTAAAAAAGTAAGACTCTGTCTCA